AAAACAGTTTGCATGGAACAGAGTGACGCACTCAAATGGCGCTTTCCACGCCCGTCTGATTTAGATGTTTCGAGATATAATGTAGTGGAGGTACGAAGTGGGAGGGAACATATTATGATTTATGCAAAGCTGCTAATCTTATACGATGGGAGGGGAGGTGTAATGGCGTCAAGTTAACTAATGGAGTGGTCCCTGCGCGGCATGAGCCGTAGGGCCCCCAGTGCACGGCCTCTCTTCTCAAGGCACCGAATTCGGACGGGCTGCCGTCACAAAACTCTGTCGCGGAGAAGATGTCTGGCGTGATACCGTGCCAACGCGTACGGGCTGCCGCGGAGGGTCCCCAGGAAGTACGCCATGGTCGACGCTTGTCTTTAAACCATATTACCGACGACGACCATGCAGTGGTGGTAATCACGGTTGCCCGTGGTGACCTTCATGTTGCGCGGGCCTACACAGAAAGTATCTGCGTCCCTCTGACGGTGTATCGTTGGCGTCAGCCATCAACAATTCCGCATCGCGCGGCGAAGTCGCAGCAGAGCTGTCCTCCCCTCTATCCGACGCAACGGGCAACGACGCTGAACGCATAGCCTGCTGCAAACGCCGAACTTCGGCGCGTAACGCCGCAACAGTGGCCTCTTGTGCCTGCCGCTCCGATAGTCGCGCCTGCTCCACCTCCCTGAGATGTCGCAAGTGCCGCTCAGATGCGCGTTGTTGGATAAGCACGAGAAATTCATCATCCTCGTCTTGCCGTAAGCCACAACGTCCTCTCCACTCCTGCATGAGAGTCAACAACAAGGCACGCGACAACCCCTCGTCATGAATGACAACGGCTCTTTCATCAATCAACGCGCTCTTCATCAATTCCTGCTCCGTCAATTTGTGACGGTTGCTATAATACACAAGATAGCCATCAAGAGACTCCTTAACCAGCTGGAGTCGATCCTCATTTTCCCGTCGTTGTACCTCAAGAATAGCAAATGCCATGGCCTCTGCGGAAAGAACTGCCTCAAATTCCATAGACTGTGTAGATATAACATTGCTTTGCTCCTGCATAAATATTGTCTTTTGCATTCTCGCGTGATCTAGCAGTAAATATTTCCACGCCAAATCCTCGTCCGTTTGGCACCCCGTACGACCGCAGGATTCCCTCCATTGTAGACGTAACAACTCAAAATGTTCCGCTTCCAGGGACTGAATCAAACTTCTATCAGCTGCCTCCTTTTCTGAGGTATTACGGAGATGCAACTGAAACAAACACCATCGTAGTTGTAATTTGTACTCCCGCCACAGTCTTCGACGCCCGAGTTGCTCCTGCGGTTCAACAACTTGCTCTCGAACACTTCTCTCATCAGAAAACAACACCCGCCGTTGATTTTCTCGCTCCTGTCGTTCCGCCTCCTCCAATTCCCGCTCCCGCATGCGTGCTTCCCGCATGCGTTGTCTAATCAATCGTTCCAGATACTTTTCTTGCTCCGTCCGCCGCACTTCGGCTTGTCGCTCCTTCTCGCGACGCATACGCTCAGCTCGCTCAGCATCCGCGTCAAACAACTGACGTGGCGGGCGCGGTGACTGGAGGGGGCGCAGCACGTCCGGAAAGCCTCCAGGCGGATGAGTGTCACGGGCAGAAAAGACCCTGGGGGTCTCTCTGTTTGCCCCTCCCTGCGGCAAGTTTTCCATGGGGACGCGGGCGTAAGGCGACGCTCGTCGACAGCCGGCGGATGCACATGTCCGACGGTTTTCATTCCCTGCCCGGGGCAGTCGCGAACGCTGTTGCGTCTCTTCACGCCTTTCCCGTTCGCGACGCAAAGCCTCTAAGTCTCGCGCAATTTGTTCTCGTCGTTCTTGCGCCAGCCGTTTGCGCAGCTCCGCCCTATGTTCCTTCTCCCGCTTTTTAAAGAACTCCTGCTGCTCCTTTGTGTACTGCGAGGCGCGGTCCTCCCGTGGGGAGGCGGCGGAAGAGGAGCGGCGATGATACTTTCCCGCCCTTCGTGTCGCGTACGAATTCAGCTCCTCGTAGATGTTACTCGTTGCGTTTCCAGTCGGCATGTAAGGGTTATACCCAACATCGGCGGGGCCTCCAGCCCTTGGTGTGCGCATTCCCGGGGTGAAGGAGTTGGCGCCCAGTGGCTGATACATGCGCAGGGCGCAGTCATATTTTTGCTTGCGTTCCGCACTTGAGAGTATTTCATATGCCACACGAACGTCACGAAATTTCTCCGCCGCTGACGGGTCCGCGAGATTTTTGTCCGGGTGGTACTTGAGGGCCAACGACTTGTACGCCTGCCGCACCTCCTCAACGCTGCTGAAGTCTGGAAGCAGCAGCGTTTGGTAGAGACGCCGCGACTTTTCAAGCTCCCCAGCCATTTCTTCTCGAATGCGCCGTTTTTTTTTTCTCTTCTTCTTTGGAGTTTCCGCCCCTTCACACCCCGCGTTTTTTTTTTGTTCACTCTTCCTTCTTTTTTGTCCCCCCTTTTTGGATGACTTTACCTCCGTTTTCTGGCCCAGCCCCCTGTTTTCCTTTATTCGTGGTGGGGCGCAGCAGCGGTGGGCGTCACTCGTGGGGAGCTTGCAACCTCACAGGCGCGAAGCGAGGGGCGGAGGAGAAGAGGGAGAAGAAGGAACAAAGGAAATGAAATGGCACACACACAGCGCAGCCGCTCGCACTCCCGCTCGTCCGCAGACACACACACACGCACACACACAAACACGCCGTTTCTTGACCCCCGGCGAGGGGCGGCGCTGTCATTGTGGCGCCTCTGTATGTGTGTGTGTGTGTGCGTGTGTGTGTGTGTGCGTGCGTTACTATTACTTTTTACCCCTCGCGGCTGGTTTCACGCTCAGACATCATACAACTACGCAAAGAAGTGCAAAAGACGGGGGACACGTAGGTTAATCATCCAAGAAGTTCTCTCAAAAAAAAAAACAAGTATTGAATATCAAAAAGAAGGAAAGTAACAAACAAACAAAAAATCACTCCCACACGCACACACATAAAAAGAGAGGGGGAAGTGACAAATCCAATTCCAGCTGGAGAGAATCCGCAATTATTGCCTTCGACGTGATAACAACAACAAAAAATAATAATGTGAGAGTCCAGGACCAAAAGAGAAGACTAAAAAGGTAATAAAACAGGAAAATGACGTAGCCTACTGAGGGGAAGGGCAGAGAAGTGGTAGAGTATCTGAAAATACTTTCTCCAACCAATTGCTCTTGTTCCACCGCCCGGGATAGTCATATATACATCAACCACGACAACCGCCAGTGGCTGCTCTGCACCTGTTTGCATTCTTTTCGCCGCACCGCCTCTCAGCTGCGTCAGAGCGCATTGTCTTGCCTTCCTTGCATCACCACGCCAAGCCCTCCTCCCAATTTCCACTTGTCCACACGGCCACGGTGACGGCAAAGGTGGTCTCAAACATAGAAGACGTGTGAGGCCCTCCTTCCGTCCCCGAGGCATGGACGTCTCACGGTTTCACCACAGCGAACTCCCTGCCCGCACATCCCTTTCCCGCTGAAGGAGAAATCGTCAAAGTGGAACGATGGCAGATGACTTTTTGTTTGTTTGTTTGTATCAATCCCGCTTTACAGCCAACCTCAGTATCCACTAGTATGCACCATAGCACCTCCCTCGCTCCCTCTCTCTCTCCCCCAGCTTTGAGTCGCAAGACCCCAGCTCCCGCAACGCACTCCATGCGTCGTGCCTGCAGCAAACGTGCGGCCGCAAGCAAGTGGAAGCGCAAGCGAAGAGGGAAACCCAACAAGTGTACACGTGGCAGTGACAGGAGACGTGCGTGCGTGGAGAGGCGTTGTCAGGTAAAAGTAAAAAAAATGCCCCGCGTGGCCAACGCATACGCACACGTAACAAAATCAAGAAAAAAAAACAGTACGGCAGGGAAAAGTAAAGTGGGAGGGGAGAGGCGAAAAGCCATGGAAAACAACACGGCTCTCGCAGCCACGGTGAAGACGCGGAAGTAAACCAGGAAAAAAAAACACACACACACACACTTCCTGCGAAGCCCCTAAACCACCTCTCTCCCACACACAGAGAGAGAGAAAGTAAGAGAAAGAAAGGGACCATCAACCTACACCACGCGCCTGCACCTTGGCTGCTGGGCGTGTTATATCGGCGGCGGCAACACAGACGACATAAAAACAAAAACAACAACAACGGCACATTACTAACCCCCCAAGAACGTGAAAGAATGAAGCCGCCAGCAGCACCTTCCGTCTTCTATCATACAGCTCCATTTACGCCCATACCCATAGTTTTCCTTCTTTTTTTTTTTGATAAACCAACTGATGTATTGGAAAAGCACACAAAGAAATTTAAAGCTAGCACAAACACAGGCACAGACACGCAGACAAATACCAAAAACAAACAAACAAGCACGTCTTCCGTAAAAACATGAAAATACAAAATTTATCAAATCTCAATCACTCCTTCACGCTCACCCTCCCCCGACCGAAACGTGTAGATTGGCAGTAACAACAGACACACCAAGAGCACGGAGAGACACATGACTATGCGTGTCTGACCGTGGACGTGTTGGCATCACCTCTTCATTTCCTATTCCCCCTTTATCCCACCACATCCGTAAAAATTCATACGAAAGAGCGAGGACAGACTTTGCCATTGTCGCTTTTTACATGATCGCCATGGTGTTGGGTTCACGCAGGTTCAGTGCACAGAAAGGACCCCAAAAAGGAAAATATCAAACATAACTGTATATAATGTCATACATTATAACAGAAAAGATACACTGATAGAGAGCACAAAAAACGCACACTCAAAAAGAAGGAAAATAAAAAAGAAATAAGTAAAACAACCAACATGTAAGCTTCGTCGCCTCAAGTCCTTCCAAGGGGGTTTAAATATTAGATCCGTCGCACCCTTGTTGTTTGCCTGGTTTTCTTTTCCCCACATATATACTTATATGAGGGTACATGGGTACGGAACAAAGCATTATTCCTTGTTTTCGTACTTCTACTTCGCACTACTACTTCTTCACGGGAGTTTGGCAGTAGACTGACACACACACACACAGATAGAGAGAGAGACAACCACATATAACGTCTTCATACCTACATAAATGCATATATGTATGTATACATATACATACATACATATTTATATTAAAACTACACACATGCACATATAAATGTTACGCATACGCACATATGTAGACTAAGGGGTGGGGGAAGGGAAGCAAATAGCAAGAGATGAAAAGTAAAAACACGCAGAAAAGATATGTGTTTTCCCCTCGCTTGCCCCACCCCTCCCCTTGCTCCCCCCAAAAGCTTGTAACAAATAGCAACATAAGTATTGTTTGATCTTTTCTTGTTGTTACCTTCGTCTCTGTTGTTCAGCCCTTTTTTTGAACCAACACTATTTTCTCTTCT